CGGTTGGTTTCAAGTACCAACTGTAATCTGTCGATTCGAGAAGGACTTTAAATAACTTGGTGGACTAAGACACGATTAGATTATCTCGTAGCGGGTTAGGAATGGGACCCTAACTTGATATCGAGCTGTTGTCGATTCGCATGGTAATTCGAACGGATCCTATCTGACCCCGCGGCATTAACGAGACCGGAATGAGTTTTCGATCGGATACAATGTACCCGACAAATACGATTCTGAGGAGATCTCGCGCCTCGCTTCGCCAGAGCTGCCGGCGCGGCGTGACTAATAAAGCTTGGACGGAATGGTGAAATCACATTTCGTTGATCACGCAGATGTTCGCTGGTTCCTGATCTCTTTGCATCTCCATTTTCCAATTAATATCGTTAACGTAATGTATGTTATAAGCTGTAAGTGAAGATTTGAATGTCATTCGTTGATCTCATTGTGTGATTCGACGTGCACACTTAACTGCAATTAAGAATCTGATCTTGTGATGTAAAAAATCAAACATACACACAGTGACTCTCATTAATATTCGGACACATTTCAAAATAGAATAAATTTTTTAATATTGAATCAAATAATTTCATTTTCTTTGGGATGTGAAACCTGGTTTACTATAAACTGAAAAGACATGAGAAAAGAAAAGGGTATGATTTTTTACTTTTCTATTAGAATCTCCAATAAAAATTTGAGACATCTCGTTTGTAAATCTAATATAAGTTAAATAAAGTGTCGTAAAAATCAAAGTAGTTAGACATTCCTTATCTGAAACAAACAATTGTATTTGACAGTATATGTAATAAAGGAGAAAATACTTTGTTTCTCTTTATAATAGAATCATTTCTTTCTCCCTTTCTTTCTCAATATAATAAATATTTATACCACAATTTTTACGAGCTCATTTCTTCATGTAAATACTGTTTGCCCTCACGATCCAGTCACTAAGCCTTAAGGGATGCGGAAAAAGAAGCCAGGAGTCTCACAGGGACAAAAGCCATCAGTCCGTCGAATAAAGACAGATATTAGAAAGCGATGTTATTTTTATAGACATTAAATAAAAGAACTTAGATTTTTTATTTTCACTTTGTTAATGTAATGAAACAATCGTACAAAATATTGAAAATCATTTTTTTCATAATCAGCATAGGGCATGAATGCTCGTAAAAGAGTGACTGTATGTATGAATATGCAAGTATTTTATATGTGTGCATAAACATCGCCTTACAGAAATCAATCAAGGGTGAAAGATGGTATGATGCATGGGGTCGGTTCGGAGCACACGGAAGAGATTTCCGGGATTAGGCGCACGAAGCTGCCATCTGATCGAATAGGATGAATCAAGTCTGACCGTGCAAAAACTGTGCTGCAAATCGTAAATCTGAAGTTGTCCCAATAGAACGATCCAAATCTCTGGATTAATCCTCTCGATATAGAAAAAAAGAAAGATGGATTGACGGAAAAAGATGGAATATGCACCTGTCGTTTTTATTATTCTTTCTGACAAAAAAATATTGAGAATGTCTATTCGAATAAAAGTTAAAAATTGGTATTACGTTAGAATATTTTATTCTTTTTGGTAAAATACTAAATATTCGGTTATCAATGGTCAGTGTTTTTCGTTAACAAGTCAAAAGCATGGCTAACTTTGCATTTTATCAAAGGAAATTATTGTTCAGAAACACCTGCAAAATCACCCTTTTTCGGCTCTAACACTTTTTCTGAGACACTTTGTGTGTATAGTGTAGACGCAGCTTAACATTATGTACGAAGTAGACATTTTGCATAAATAATTCCGTCCAAAATAATTGTTCTATAAAATATTATTTTGACGTTCCTTGGAAAAAACACTTTACCAGAAAACCATTTGCTTCTAGACTCGGGCGACAGCAGCGTTATCTCCCCAGGATTACCGGAACGGTATAGCCCGCTGGGAGCGTCGGGTTCGACCTCGAGTCACGATCCTTACCTCTCGAGGTCTGTGCAAGAATGTCCAGTTCCACTTTGTCGAGGAATACCCACAGATTTCCCGCTAGCGAGGTCGCCGTACTTAACCGCTTTGGGAAACGGTCACCCTCATCTTTTGGGCCAAGTGCAACAACAGCAACAGCAACAGCAGCAACAGCCGCAGCAACAGCAGCAAATGCAACCACAACATGGTACCAAGCCACCACGTAGTCTCGGTTTGATATGCGTAGTGTGCGGCGATACCAGTTCCGGGAAACATTACGGAATTCTGGCTTGCAACGGGTGCAGCGGATTTTTCAAGAGAAGCGTCCGACGAAAGCTGATTTACAGGTAAGTCATAATAATTCATTTACTACAAAGTCATCTTTTATCGAACTTAAACCCATGACGTTATAATATTTTCATGCCTTCAATGAACTGCATACTATTTTTAAAAAAAAGTGAGAAATACGTGTTTACCAGAAACTGAATTTAAACATTGAAGAACGAGGTAAGATAATGTACCGGCAACTAACACGTAGAAACCATCGGTTATCCTAACATCAGTTGAAATCGTTTCATAAAAGATTATCCGAACAAGGGGGCCAAATCTCTCGTTTCCTATCAAATAGAAATTAGCGAGCGGGTCCTCTTATGGCGTTTAATGTCAAACTGGCCAGCCAGTGGCGCCATGTGGTCCAAGTCGAGTGGGCTCATCGTAATGCCGGGCAACAATGCGGAACGGCATAATGTTGAACCCTGAAAGACCTATCCACCTAACCCGTCGCCCTGTGTATACGGCACGCTATTACCATCCCCTGGGAACGGCCATCCATCTCCATCGCATCCCTCTCAGCTCGGAATCACTGTCTGATATGCTCGATCCGTTCTACACAAGACCACGTACGAGCCGTGTGCGTGCATCCCTTTGACTATTCGTACATACATACGTATACGTGACTATCAGTAACCCTGCAGCCATAGGTGTGCGCGTTAAATCCATCGAGGAGATACACGACGCCAGGATACTCAATACACATACTATTAACCTTCGAGAAATAAATGCTATGGATTCTGCATAGATACACGGTCGCTTTGAGTAAAATATTGAAATCAAGTACTCAAATATAACATGTAGAATCTTTGTAAGAATGTATAGGGATACTTCAATCTTTTCATAAGAAGAATTTGAGGT